ATTTATTTGGCATATAAACTTAAAGTAGGGTATTATGGCATTCGTGTTCCGAGAATCTGCACTCGTTATCGCAGTAGAGGAGCGTCGGAAACGATGTGAAGCAACCACAAGAGCAAAAAAAAAAAAAAAACCAGATCGCACAATTGTTATTAGGCTCTTTTGAGTAAATGCCGCCATGGGGCCAACGACGAGGAGCGAAACTGAAGCACGCGCTCTTAACAAATTGGGCTACGAATTTATGCGACTGGCTGGATGGCTTTTAGAGATGTGCACCGATGACATCACTGGCAAAATATGTGCCCCAAAAGGCGCGGCCGACGCAGATGCGATGCGATGACGCAGATCCGACGACCTATGGCAAAATGCGAAACGGCACTCAATACGGCGGCGGGGAACTGTTGACACTCGTTCATCATCAGGAGGCAAGCGGGGCGGTGAGCTGTGAGCTGTGAGCTATGAGTATCCCATGCCAGGATGCAAACTAGTTCTGTGCCACTTTTTTTGGCAGAACGAATGCGACGCGAGATTCCAAGGCAGTTCAATGTCAGCAATGCCTGCTAACTTATGCAAATTTTGCGCCAGGCTCTTCAGTGTTTGATTTATGTGTGTCAGGAGGGAACGCATTGTCAGCGCCTGCTTGTGCATAAAACTGAGGCAAATGAAATTAACAACAGTCTAGTAAGCTCTACAGTTCGGTGTCCTGCCACTGCCACATTTACATTCGGATCCTAGCCGGGCGTCGACACCTTTATGAAGTGTCAAAGTCAAGAGCCATGTTCATTAATTTGACATGAGCCGTGCTCTTGAGACTGGAAACGAGAACTCTCTCTCTCCCGCTCTCTCTCTCGCTCTCTCTCTCTGTTTATATACATAATTGTTGCATAATAAACGCATTAATCAACTTATGAATGAACTAGTCCGAAGGGGTTCGGCATCAAACTGAAGTTTTGCTAATGGTTCAAGATTATGTTTTGATGCATTTACATTTTTAAATGTTTTTTAAAGCATCTGGTATCATTTGTTAACATTTGTAGTTTCTGTCAGTGAAATTAGGAAGCGAAAGGGAATATATATATATATATATATATTTTCTTAATATTCAAACGATTTAGATATGCAGGGAAGTTTTACTTGAACTCAATGTTATTTGCATAATTTAGAATGTGAAAGATTAGAATATATTTAGATAGCTTTCGATTTTATACGGATTTTTTGTTAATATTTAGCTTGAAAAGAGTTAAAAACAAACAACAACAAAATAATGCACACCCAGAAGTGTAAAGATTGTGCTTGCTTATATAATTTTGCAGTCTTCTCTTTCATAACTCGTGACTCTATTTAAGAAAGAACACATTTCCTCGTGTGCCTCAGTCTATCTATCTATTTACCCATCTATCTATCTACCCATCTATCTATCTACTTAAAGTTTCTGATAGTATGAGTGAGTACTTCAATATCTAGTATCTATCATGTGTAATAGGTGGTCGTCTTCATCGTCAACTTTGCTGATGCTGTTGTTGTTGTTTGTTGCGCTGTTGCTGTTATTGTTGCCGGTAACACTGACAGCAGTTGCAGTAGCAGAAACAGCAGCACAGACAGTGGCTAAAATATGTTCCGTGTTTGCTACTCTATCTCCATTGCACTCACACCCACACTCGGTCACTCCGTCTCGCTCTAGCCGCCCATTGCGAGCAACGGGCAATGCAATTGTAAAATTGAATTATTCATGGCGATTGTACGACAATCAATTGAAATTGAAATAAAATGCTGCAGCCAAGTCGCTGTTGCTCTTAGCTGCTGTTGATGTTACTGTTGCTGTTGTTATTGTTGGGGATTTTTTTTCTTTTTTTTGCTACCGCCTTTGACATGTGCGCACAGCTATCTTTCAGCATTTTTAGTTTTGTTTTTATTTCTTGGCTTGGCTTGCGTCCAACTGAAATTGTGATTTAAAGTATCTGTATCTGGATCGTTTGGCAGCGATTGAATGTCGCAATGTCGCCATGTGTCCATGTCGCATTGGTCTCCCATTCCTCCCAATACCCATCCAATCCCGTACCCCTTCAGCTTACTCTCCCCCTCTCTCTCTCTCTCTCTCGCTCCCTCTGCTCAACGATCTGTTATCCATCTGTCCTGCACTTGGCATGCAGCCTGCGTCCAGTAGCAGATTTGTCGCCTATTTTGCTGGCTTTTCGCTCTTTTTGGCAATCGACAATTTGTATTTGGAAATGTTGCATGTTTAAGTCTTTCAACATCCTCATCAACGATATACGCTTTGGCGTTTTATTTGGCCTTGGAGTCTTTGAAATTTTTTTGATGCATCGATTTGCTTGCAATTTACATACTCGAATTTCAACTTATTTTCTTTTACCTATATCCAAAGAAATTTTAAGCGTGTTTTTAGTCAATATTGCTTATCATAATAAATGAAAAAAAGGATTTACGTTAGATAATACTGAAAACTCAGCATCGCATATTTTTCTCCTATTAACTGCACAGTTCATAATGGATAATTAAATCTCAATATCTTTATATCTCTGAGCATGTCTAAAAATAATTTGAAGTAGATTGCGCTCTAATAAATATGAGCAGACATCAAAGCTAATGCACCAACTCATCACCATGAGCACGCGAGTGATCTCGTCAGAAGTTCAACCGGCTTATGACCATGTCGACAAAAAAAATCCACACTGCCATTTGGGCATTTGTGGACTGAGAGTTAGCTAAGGCCGGGGCTGACTAACGCGTAAACTTAATTAAAATTAAACCGCTGCAACAGATGCAACAGATTTGCCTACTGAGATGAAATGACGACCACGATGACGACTCTGAATGCGTCTGCAGAGATTATGACAAGTACAGCAATGTCCAAGTTAGAGTGGAAAACTAGCCGCAAGAGCCCCAACTGCCAGTTTCCGACCAGGTCCAGTTGATGACTAAATGCTGCTCGTGCTGTGATAAATTACATGTCGTTTTAGAGTGTTGCGCTTCCTTGTTACTCCGTCACTGGTGTTGACACACAGCGGCCGCCGAGGGTCGTGGCGGGTGCACTAAGTGGATCTTCGCTATGGTATCACCGTCATTGTAATGTGCAACCGCAAGTGGTATTATTAAAATGAAATCATCATCATCGTGGAGTGAGACAAGTGCATCGCTCCAGCTCCAGCTCTGGCTGTCTCTCACATTGCCTATCTGAGGATCAGCTTGATGCGCTGAGCTTGCACTGATCTGGTTACTTACGACAAGGGAGTCGGATGACGCAATAATTGGATCCCGAAAACTGTTTTACAATCTTATTTGGTAATTAAAGCCTAAGGTATATTACTTCAAATACAAAATCAAATCAAATGTTGCATGGGAATTCACACTTTGAAAGTTTTATAACTCCTTAGGGTGTGCTTAAGATGAACACATTTCAAAATACGTTATGCCTTGTTGCAAATCACTCATAAGGAGATAGATATATGTTAATATGCACAGATGCAAAGATGGGAAGGTAGTTAGTACAAATAACAAATGCAATTTCAGTCAATTTCCTTAATTTAAAGGGACTTCTCGATGAAAATGTAAAACATATACTTCAAATCAAAGCTAAATTAGTATCATTAAACGAAAGACTTAAGCGACAAACTCGTTTTCACCATTTTGTAAACAAGCTACTTATTTCATTTGAAAATGTTGTTTGCTCTCAGCGGTTTTATTTACACAGCTCGGCGGGCATTAAGTGCCCACCTCTTTGGTGCATTAGTCCAATACGAATACAAATGAATGAACATTTACAATATAAACACTTAGGCCGACACAGACAATACACACGCACTACATACACACAGACGCACACACACACACATACACTGCTCTAGTGGCACATGCAATCGAGCGATAATAACTGTACTGTGTGTAAAGTTAAAGCAACAACAACTCGTACAACAAAATCAACAGCCAACCACATCGAGAAATTCAATGAAAACAAACGAACGCTGGCGGATCGTGCCGCTGCCAACAGCCAACCACAATTCAGCATGAAGAGCTAAAGAGCAACATCAAAGAGCAGCAGCAGCAGCAGCAGAAGCAGCAGCAGCAGCAACAACAACAATCGAACCCGGCTTTTAACAGTTCACAGCACTTAACATTAACAGCAAACGTCAGCATCAGCAGCAACAGCAGCTGTTTGTAAACAGGAAATTGCGATTGCCCTCTGTAAAATGCATGATAAAGCAAGTAAGTGAGTTTTTCTGCACAATGTCTAGCTAAATATCTTCGATTTGGGAATCACATGCTTACAAATGGCGTATAAGCAAAACATTCTGTAAAAAACTACTTTAAGCTATAAGCTTACAAAATTCTTAAGATATTATTATTAAAAAAAAACTATTTTATCATATTTTCGCTAGATATTCTTAAAATTTAGACTTAAAAAAATAATATCTTGCACTTAACTGTCATGAAAAAGTAAGGTAATCCACGCAGGCAACTAACGATTATCACAATTGGATTTCCTGTTGGGTAGTTAAAGACACACACTCTGACACACACACACGTACACTTACAAATACACATACACACTCAACGAACACAGTGAAGACGCGTGCGCGCGCGACTTCAAATGCTGCTGGCTGTTGATCTTTGAGGCCAGGGCCAGTCAGTCGGTTGGTTGGAGCTCAGAACGATGATGACGATTTAGTCTCGGATGGGCGCTACGCTGCAAAGCATCGCAAGGCTGCAGAATACCGCTACCTGAAACTATCTCTCACGTGAGGACTTACGCGCGATATATCGCGCTTATCGGTTATGTTCGCCACGTGATTGCTCACGCGTGAGATTTGTGAAAAGCCGTCGCTAAAGCGATTCAAATAATGCACCAAGCGCCACAGAGCTGAGATCATGCGCAAATGATATAGTGTGAAGATATAGTGTGTATATCATTGTATTTAATATCTTCAAAAGATTTGTGAAAAAGCAAATATAGAAAAAGTGTATGTTTTTTGTGTAAAACTAAAAAAAAAAACTACAATCTTAGCTTAAAATTTATGCAGTTTACCGCATAATAATATTGTGAAAAGGTGAGTGCTACATAAATTAATTTTTAGTAATAGTAAAATATAGTAAATATAAAAAACAAGAACTAAAGAAAATAGAAAATCATATTGAAACTATAGATTAAAACAAATTACATAAAAGAACAAATAATTAAGTATTGTATCCGATTGGTGTTCACTCTTCAGCAATGTTAACATTTATTAATCATTATTTTAAATGTGTTAGCGATGACCTTTCAATTGAATCGTTGTTTGTTTGCCGTTGTTGCCATTACAATGTAATTACTTTTATTATTTATAAACTGATGTGATTATGCTTATTTTGTGGATACGTAAGCAATGCTTAAATATTATCTAAACACACCAAACAGAGACATTAAATAATGATGCAATAAGAAGAAACTGTAAGCCCAAGAAAACCCAGTGAACAACTCGTGTTAAACCAAACAGCTATTAAAGTAAAGTATTACCAGATTTCATCAAAACTCATGCAAAATAACTGTTACTATTCTAAAGGATGTCACTTTCAAGTTATATCTTGCTTGCTTAACAATTCGAGTATTATCAAATTGGAAATAACTGTAGTTCATTATCTAAAGGATACCATTTTCAAGTTCCATCTGGTATATATGTGACTATACTTAACTTTCCACTTGCTCGCATATATCTGTCATGCTTAAGGGATTATCTAACCGTCTACATATTCAGGAAGTAAAACTGAAAACAAAAGACACTCATTGACATGCTCATTAATTATGTTATTGCCTTTTGTGCGATAAGTGTCAAGAAATTATTACAATAGGGCGACGAGAGTTGTTGGTACAAGAAAGGAGTTGAAGATATTCAAGCATTTAATTGTCTGACTGGCAATCAAGCAGAAAAGGGCTAAGGAAGCTGTGCAACAGGGACGAGATACGAGAGACGAGGAGACGAGGCAGTCAGGAAGCGAACAATTCAAACTAGAGCGTGTGACTCTGTTGAATGGATTTGCATGTTGCAAAAGTCTCCGGCTTCGGCTTTGGCTTTGGCAGAGGCTAATAATAAAGCATATTATGGGCAATTGTTGATTGTAGTCCATTGGGGTTGTGTGTGTGTGTGTGTGTCACAGATCTTTGAGTTTGAGCTTCATTTTAGATGCAGTGCTCCTGTTCTCCTGTTCTGCCTGCTTGACTCGTCTGGTTGTTCTATTTTGTATCTGCCTCAAAATATTTTCAACAATCGTGGTTTGCTTGTTTGAACACCTTTTACTCGATGGGTTCTTCCCTTTATCTGAGAGATAGTGTACAGCATTTTGTTTGCTTTAAAGGACATATTTCTGTTTATTATTCTTTGCCATGCTTATTGCTGAAAATCCTTTCCTTTTTAGCTGACAGCGCCCTCTGTCAACGGCTACTTGATGAGCTTGTTGAAAGTGTAGATCCATAAATACATACGTACAACTGATCTTGTTCTCATTGTTACCAAATGAATGAGATTCGGTTTGCTTCTGTTCTCAGCGCACCGAAACAAAAAAATAAAATAAAAACACAAAAAAATAAGTAAATAAAAAAGCAGAAAACTTGAATTTGTATGTAGCTGAAGGCACTCGAAACTTTGACTGCAATTGGTAGCTCAACTTTGTTGGTTTCAATGGACAACGATTGTTTAAATACATTCCGTTTATTTGCTAAACGGAATCTATTGCAACATTTGTTTCTTAAGAGAGGCAATTACAAGAGTTGAGAAATGACGACAAGAATGAATTTTGTAATGGTGCCAATACAATGTATTGTCTGCTTATTGATTATAGTCTAAGGATATCATGAAATGTTATGGGTATTTAATTTTATTACTGAACATGTTTCGATTTATTTTAATAACTAAGTTTATTGACTTAATTTTTTATTAAGCAGCAGCAATAAAGATGACTGAGATTATGACCATAACAACTTTCGTTATTTATGAGAGTTTTTCTGTGAAATATAATGTTAATATTTTTGTTGATGTAAGACTATCGTAGTTAACACAAATCATATTTAAAGTTAATTAAAAGCAAATTAAAATTGCAAAAATTTACTACCTTAACGCGTTTTTCAACATCAAATTTTTATGATCTGCCTTTCTCAAAATTGATGATGCATTTGCAGGCAAAAGTAAGCGAAGCTTATAGAAGTCGGCTCACAACATAATTAGCTGGTTAACTAGTTTGTAACTAGGTACTAACATATATAAACAAATCAAGTTTTATGTACAGTTCATGCATAACTTCAATCGATTGTTGAAATATTAAGATACAAAAAAATCGCTTAGATTCTTTAAATATGCTTAAGGAGTCCAACTTGACCTGCAGCGAGAATATTACGAATCTAGGCACTGTGACCCAATAAAGTACCCGTGGTAAATGACAAGCATTAAACATAAGCACTTCAGGTCGTTGCAAATAGAATTTGCCTGGGAGCAGCACCAGCAATCGTACCATTCTCGGCTAGTTCGTTCGTTATTGTGTCCATATCTTGACACTGTTTGGCTGTTGGCTGGGCAGGAGGGCGAACCGCTTGGCAGTTGTGGTTGCCACCGCTCAGCAGGTGGTGGCCCGGCGTGATGCTGCTCCTGTGATAATGGCGAACACGCCAGACCGCCGCTTTGCATATAAACGCGCGCTAATGGACACCAAAGGTGACAGCGAGCGCTGCTAAATTGGCAAACATTAAATTTGCACCTTCACAGCGGCAAAAAAAAAAATAAATAAAGAAAAATCCAAAACCGTGACAATTTTAGGCACAGCGGTGTGCTTTTCCAGAAAAGTAAAATAAAATAAATAAAGAAAAAACTAAATTGCGATGGCGATGGCAAAAAGTCGACAAAGTGCCAAAGGAAAGCTTTAAGATCAAGACCAAAAATTCAAGTGCCTAAGCGCAGAAGATAATCTTCATCGCTGAAGCAAAATTTATTTTATTATAAAAAATTATATATCGGAGCTACAACTAATGCCTTATAGATTACTTCTCCAAATGAATTTCTTTCTGAACAGCAGATTACTTATTATTACCTTATCGAGGAAGAGTACTTCATGTATGATTTTATAAATCACTACAGCTCGACGTTTATTAAGAGAATGTAAGCTAAAGAATCTGCAAGCACTTGGATTATGGGGTGGAGATTCTTAAATGTTTCCGACCTTTAAATAACTTCTATTTATGTGTTAGATACACAAGTATCACGGCCTTTTCTTGCTTAATATTTGCTAGCCATTTGTGAGACATTCTCATACAAGATTTTTCGAACTTACCAAACATTTTCACGCTGATCAAATACTTGACGCAAAATGTACGTACATTTTGTTTTCCAGTTATTTTTGTTTTTTGACCTTAGCTTTATGATCACACACAAAACAAGTAAGTACGTACATTAGATGTGTGAACACGACCCATCCTCAGTGGCAGAGAGTGCAGCGAGTTGCCGGCAAGGGAAGTGCGACCAGGCCAGGAATCGGGTCTTGGATGCTTACCGTGTCGTGGATGTGTCTTGGATGGTGCCAGCCCAAACCGGTCGTTGCATACCTCAATTTCTAACCACGACCTGTGGCAAAAAAAAAGAGAAACGCAGTGGGTCATCGGTTATGCTGTCGGTGCTGCTGCTGCATCTTCTTCCTCTTCTTTTTAGTATTATTATTATTATTATTATTTTAGTGTTTTCACTATTACTGTATGACCATGGTCGCTGCTTGATCTCAGCTGAGTGGGGCAAGGCTGTGCCAAATCGTTTATCCATAACCAGGACTATTTGAGGAAATTATCTTTCCTTCTTTTATTTACATATAATTATATATATATATAAAATCATACATATGTACATATAAACTATATATATATAAATAAATAAGAGACAATGACTAAACTATAAAATAGTCTACACATATTTTATTAAATTTGTCATTAAATGTTGTGAAAAAATCGTTGAATCCATATTAGATTGATCTAAATATTAAATATATAAAAGGATAGCAGTTGCCAAATATTATTAATAATATAAAAATAACACATTTATTAAATATATTAATGATTACAAAAACGTCGCAAGATATCGAAAAGACGATTTTGTGCGAAATTAAACAAAAGTTTTGCTATCAGTCGAATAAAACACCCATTTTAAAATAGTTTAAATTAAATATTTAATTTTAAAGAAAATAATATCTTACTGATAAAAAAAAAAATGGTTATTATTATAATTTTATTACAGATGAACCAGCTATGCAAAGTTTGCGGCGAACCGGCGGCTGGCTTTCATTTTGGAGCATTTACATGCGAGGGCTGCAAGGTGAATAAAAATGATAATAATAATCTAATACCTCTAGGCAGTATCAATATTGTATGCTTAGTGCTAATACTGTAAAATAGGATAACCACTTAATGGTCATGCAATGCTGTGAGTAATTTATGTATAATTATAAAGAAAATTTTGCGAAACGTGAAATCTAACATAGAAAAAAAAACAATTTTTTTGCCATACTCAGCAAAATGTGCGAAAATATTATCTAATTTGGCTTTTACAGTGCCCAGCATCAGATATTATTGCTATAATTAAAATTCAATTCGGTGGATTTATCGATTTTTAATTGACTTTAAGTAGATGCGAGTACAATGGGGTACCTTCAAATGCCATGGGAAAATATCTGCGAATTTAGAGCAGCAGCACACGATCTCCGATGTGGTACAGACATATACACATATATAGAGCTCTGAGCTCAAGGCGAGCACAATTGTAAACTGCAGTCAATCAAATAAAAATTACATGCATATTAGATGACTCAGCGTTAACCGACGGCCTGGCATCAAAGTTCACTTACTGATGAACGTGGCGCTCAATGAACTTCAACATCAATGCGAAGAAGAAGTCGGGCAGCAATAACAATAACAACAACAAAAACAACAACATTGCCTCTAGCATGAGTTGGCTAAAACAACAAACAAAACAAAACAAAGCAAAAGCGTTCACATAGTCAAATAATAAATGGTGCATGAAACTCTTTCACATAATTACCAAGTAGTTGGCAAAATTTATTAACGCACATTTTGTAATTGAAGCGTTGAGTTTTTGGGAGAGTGAAATTATGCCACTTGAATACCATTGAGTGCTAATTACAGATGTGCACAGGTGCAAAAAGGTATCAGCAATAATTGATTTTGTTGGCCAACAATATCTGCCTTGTCATTCAACTTTTTCTAGGGCAAACTATTAATGAGTTAAAATAAAATAAGTAAAAAAATGTAAATAAAATTGTTGCTAAAAAAATGCTTAGAGAAATCGAAACCGAATAATAACGGGTAAATTGTAACGGTACAGGTTGTGATTGTGAATATTAATAGTAAAAATATTGATTATTAGACCTTATAGTAACAGTATTTATTGCTGGTGTTCGTTTAATCTGTAATGCAAAGCCCTTTCGAATCTAATTTTTAGGAACACAATCTTGACTGGAAATTGTAGATCTGAATCTGAATTTAAAATTCTAATTTTAAGATATTCCATTCTAGAAAGAAAAATTCTTGAATCAAACTTTAAAAATGATTTGATAAGTAGAAAAATAATGACTAAGTCAAGCGAAAATGGCTAACCTTTTCGACGACAAAGTTTTCCTTTTCTAATCCTGTTCAAATCCTGCATCATTTCAGTCCTTTTTCGGCCGCACGTACAACAACATTGCAGCGATCGCCGGTTGCAAGCACAACGGCGATTGTGTAATCAACAAGAAGAATCGAACGGCCTGCAAGGCATGCCGGCTGCGCAAGTGCCTTCTGGTGGGCATGTCGAAGAGTGGATCTCGTTATGGCCGACGCTCCAATTGGTTCAAGATACACTGTTTGCTGCAGGAGCAACAGGGCGGCGGAGGCGGCATAAGCACAGGTGCGACTGGGCCCAGCGTCAGCAATGCCAATCTGGATCAGCTGGCGCGGCTGCAGCAAGCGAGCAATCAGGCGCGCCAAACGTACCAGGACAAAACGAATCCCTGCATCAAGTCGGCCACAGCAGCCACCTCCACGCCTACGATCAGCTCGCTGCAGTCGGCTGGCGCAAAGGCGCCGGCAACGGCATCGCCACCCCGTCCGTCGCCCAGCTTGCCCGGCTTTCTGCAAGCAGCCAAGTATCTGAACGAGCAGCAGCATCGTCAGCTGAAGCTCGAGTCCCGCCTCAGCAATACACCCAGCGACTCAGGCGCCTCATCCGCCGGTGATCCCACAGACGATGGCACCAGTGTGCTCAGCGCCACAACCAGCACAATACGCAAGGCGCTGCGACCGGGCAGCTCCGCATATGCGGGCAGTTCCGAGGCAGATATAGCGGAGCAGCAACAGCGACGACACAGAGAGCTCCTCGATATCTTTCGCAGTCACTCGGAGCCGTTGTACAGCTCGTTCACGCCGTTCACTCTGCCGCCAGTCGGACTAATGGGCAACTGCAACATTCCGCCACTGCCCCTCTTCAAGGAGCAATTCAAATCGGATCTGCTTTTTCCGTTCCCAACAGCCAGTCCGGCGGAGGACGAGGATGAGGAGGAGCCCATCGATTTGTCGCTTCGATCGCGAACGCAGGCTGCAAGTCCTGCGGCGAACAGTTCCAGTATCAGTCCACCGCTCAGTGAGTCAGCCAGCCGCCTGCCATCATCCGCCACATCCTCCACCACGTTCGTACGCAAAACCACGCCCCTCGATCTGACGCTGGTGCGCTCGCAGACCCTCACAGGATGAATGGGTTGGGCCGAGTGTATTTGAGTGAGTGAGTGAGCCTGTGAGTGAATTCAGTCGAGTGCCAACGAAACTAAACTAAGTATCCATATTTAGTTGATCTGTAGAATTCTCTTGATTATTAGCAAAACATTTGAAATATTGGTGCCAGTGAAAGTATGTACAAATTAATTGTTTTTAGCACAATTACCAACATTAAACCGATTCAAAATACTCGTATACATATACATAGACATATATATACACATATACACACATACATATGCATGTATAAATAATGTTTAGCCAAATTTACAAGTGACTGTCGTTTATTTGTGTGTTTTTTTATATATATATTATTTTAATTTATTTAAGTATGTATAATTTGTATGTTGTTTTCGATAATTGACATTCTGTTTGTTTTTTACTTTTAAATAATTTATTTTATAGACATTTAAGTCATGAAAAAAAAACAATGTAAGAGGCAGCAAAAAATAATAATAATAATAAAAAAAAACAATGAACTAAAATCACTTGAAGCTTAGCTTTCACGTCGACTGAATCATACTTAAATAATATTTACTTTACTCGTTGTGCATAGCGATTGTTAAACAACCACGAGACAATAGACATAGTAGCTAGACAGTCATTAATCAATTTTTAAAAATCCCTACATCTATTTGTTGTAATCTATATAAATAATTCCAGTGCTTATGTGATTCGAACATGGTATTTATCTAGCCATTTACATACCAGTGATGTAAAACCATGATATAATATATTTACTATAACCTTTAAGGGTATAAACGAAAATGATATCAGCTTTCGTAAAAGTATTTTCCGTAAATGCTTGACATTAAAAGCTTGCTACGAATTGACACATGAACGGACTTTACATGACCATCTACAGCAAATTGTTCAATATATTTGCGATTCAACTGTCACATGATCCATGCTTATGTGTATATCCATCATATCTTGACCACAATCCTTGGAAGGCGCTCGCATAGCTGGCCTGTAGCGATGCCTTATTCATTACGTAAGCCAGCTGACATATTTCCAAATGTCAGCTATGTATATATGTGGATATTGACTACATAAATGTAATTATGACAACGCTGGACAGATGACAAGCGATTTGACAGCAACTAAAGCATAAAACAAATGACTTAAGCAACAAACTTAAAAGAAAATCAACGAAAAGGAAACAACAACAACTTTAACTACCTAACCATTATATATAGTTGATTCTATTTATAATTGTTGTATATATTAAACAACATGTAGTTATTTATAATTTATTCACTTAACACTATAAAGATGTACGTAAAAACTTGAAATCATCATAGAACAACGATTAAATATTCACGTTTTTCCCAACGAACGCGCTAAAATCAAATGACTTAGGCAACGAACTGAAAGTGAAATCATCATGGCTTAGTATGTATTTATACATGTTTCTCATTGGCTCAAACCCAAGAGAAAAGCCAGCCACACCGCACACACTAATACAAAAACAACACCAAATCACAGACACATTTAAGCATTCAGACATTCATCTATTCGCTGGTTTTGTCTACGGAGAAACACGCCCCCTGAGAGTCGCGACAAAGTGAGATACCAAAAGACGAACATAATCCACGACACACGCACTCACAATTAGCAGCGGCCAAACAGAAGCAACGCCAGCCAACATAATACTTTAAGCAAACAAGCAAATACATAAAAATAAAAAAAACGCACACACATACACACAAACAGACAGGCAGACAGACAGCAGACCGGCAACCTGATCTGGCATATATGTCTTTAAAATTCATTTATGCATTAAAGCAAAGCGAATGTGATTGCGCTTAGCAAGTGCGTCGCATTATGTTTAGATGCCTGTTGCCGATACTTTCGCAATGATTTTTATTAATGTCGTTTATAGCGAGCAGCTACTGTAATGCCGACGATCGAGTACTTAAGCTGTAATTTTTTTTGTAATAAAGAGCGTGTAACTTAGTTTGGTTCTTGCATGGTTTTTATTGCTCAAAATCAGAAGCAGTATAAAAAAACCTGTTTTCCTTTAAGGATGTATTTACTTAGCAGGGACATGCGCAAGTTTCTATTATAATTTTTTTCTCAAACATAAGCCGACAAATTCCACTAGATCTTGTCTCTTATCTGCTTTGCAGCTCGTCTCATAATCCACCCCAGTTTTCTGCGCCCCAGTAATTTTTGAGGCCATTTCCCTCTTAAGACCATAGAAACATACATATATGGATTTGTATGTATGTATGTATGAATGTCTGTATGCATTAGTCAGATACATCTTAGTCTATGCGCGTGCGCCAGAGACAAGCAGAGAGATGGATTGCCGTCAGGGAGTCTGAGCGACAGTTTCTAGTTTCACATATACACAGATATCCAAAGGAGGAGGCTCTGGGCGATCTGGCGTGCTTAAAATTCAATTGAATATTGAATTATTGCATTGAATTTCATTGTTTGTAAATGCTCGCCAGCTTTTATTGTAAACTGATTTCTTTTTCAGTCATCGATTTATTTATTTATTTCGTTTTTATTGTACTCGCTCGAAGTTCGAGCAGTCATAAATCGTCACAACATATTTGTTTTTGTACATATTATGTTACATAAGTAGATCTACGTTTGGGTGGTCTATTTGATGTAGGTTCGAAATGGTTTGGATTCACTTTTTTTTTTAAAGGATAACAACTAAATTTGTGAAAGATACATACATTTATGATCCACATTTAGTATACTTGATGAATTTAATACGAGATATGGTCACATTTTCAATTAAATGCGATCCCAGCGAAAAGCAACTGCTTTAAATTTATATCCGAAATTGGTGATTCACAACAACAGCAAAATTGCCCCAGTGAAATCGCTTGAAGATCAACAACAAAAACAACAACACGTTGTAGCAAGAGTTCAGAGTTGTCAATAAAAATTAATTGCCATTTTATTGCCACTGAAAGCATCTCCTGCATACAAAGTAAACAGAAAAATCAATGCACTGTAGACTTTAAAGTATTGTCGCTTGGCAATGTGATTGGTAACATAAAATCATAAACTTGAGTGTAAACATATTTATTAACTGCTAATTGAACTTAATAACAAAGTTAACAGTTATTTGAATTCCGTTTTATATGTATGCGGAAAGGGTATACAATTGTCACCGTGAGAAGTATAAGTGTTTTTTTATGCGTTCTACTCCTGAGAGAACAAACTGTCATTTGACCCAATTTTAAAGCGAAACATTAACACAAAGATAACAGCTAAAATGAAATCAATTTTGATCACATTTCGATGCTGTGCGCACACTCAAAATGCACAGCACGTGCATTGTGCCGCTTGCCAAAACAACAGCTGTATGGTGTTTTGGCCATATCTTAAAGAGTGACACAATACTTCATTTATGCCAGCATATAAAAGTATGCAACACTTTACACAAACCTCTCTCGTGATCAGCTGTCTTAGCGATATCTATCGATTATTGCATCCTATACGTATATCGATGGCGACAATATATTGCATGCTTTTACATGTGAATGGCGAACATCAAAAGAAGACCATTTCTAAATTTGCTGAACAACAATGCTTGGCAATGTATCCGTTCAGCTCTCAAAAAAGATCATGGACATTTGCAAACGAGGCCCAACTGCAGGCATTCCGCGTGGAGCAGAACACCAAGTATATCAATGAGCATGAGAGTGAAGCAGCATCTTACGATAGCCTGGACAAGTTCTTTCTGACGCCGGCTGAGGAGCGATTGCTGCTCAAACAATATGAAATTTATCTGGTTGACTTTTGTCGACGCTTCGATCCGCCAATGCCGAAATGTGTAATTGGCACTGCATTCCATTACTTCAAGCGATTCTATCTCAACAACACACCCATGGACTATCATCCCAAGGAGATATTGTAAGCACTTGCTGCTTATACGATGATTATTAAATAACATTTCCTCTTACTATTACTAGAGCTACATGCGTGTTTGTCTCCTGCAAGGTCGAGGAGTTTAATGTCTCCATCAATCAGTTTGTGAACAACATTAAAGGCGATCGCAACAAAGCCACGGACATTGTGCTCTCGAATGAGCTGCTGTTGATTGGCCAATTAAACTACTACCTCACCATACACAATCCCTATAGGCCTGTTGAAGGTTTCCTAATAGACATAAAGGCATGCAATGCAGTCGATTTAAGTGTCGAGTTTATTTTTGATTCACATTTTCAATGATTTAATTTCAGACTCGCAGTAATATGCAAAATCCAAATCGTTTGCGTCCGCAGATCGACAGCTTCATCGATTTAACATTCTTTACTGATGCCTGCTTGCTTCATACACCATCTCAGATTGGTCTGGCTGCCGTGCTGCATGCGGCCAGCAAGGAGCAGGAGAATCTCGACAGCTATGTGACGGATCTGCTATTTGTATCAGCGCGTGAGAAGCTACCAGGTCTCATTGATGCTGTCCGCAGTGAGTGATTTATCTGTGGATATTAATTTTTTCGGTTCAAGCATATCTTTTCCTTTGCAGAAATTCGCATGCTAGTTAAGAATTATCAACCGCCTGACCGCGAAAAGGTCAAGTTTATTGAAAAGAAATTGGACAAGTGCCGAAATCAAAATAATAATCCAGACAGCGAGCTGTGAGTTACTGAATTTATAATTTTCAAACTTATTGGCTAATTGGTAATTTAATTATATAGCTACAAGGAGCGCCTGCGTCGCTTGTATACCGATGAGGATGATATGCCGGGCGAGGATGCCAAGTTTCACATAGCCGATGTTAGTTCGGATACATCAGCCATGAATATCAGTCAATGAAAATTCAAATATACTTAACACAAAACAAAAAACGTAATTAAAATGTGATTGCTGGCGAATAATTTGAAAATACAAGATAATCATACAATTATAGTAGACTTTTTTATATATTGCGTATCATGTGGAACCGATAAAAGAGAACTAGTCATTCTGACGTTTTGCTTGCTACAACGCTCATCTCTAGCTTGGAAAACAACACTGGGCCAGCTGCGATGCCGGCGTCTATGCTCACATTTCACAATTTGTTTGCGTGTGTGTATTATTTACATACACATATAAACATATGTGGTGCAATTTTGTATCAAGTTGTGCAATAATGTTTCCACATAAAAAAGAAGCTGAAATTGATCTACAGCAGGCAAATGTGACATCATCGATAAGAGAAGTGTACTATTGATTTGTATCAATTGCTGTATGGGTGTATACCCATCCAATGTAAATCTATCTAGCCAATTTAATCTTATCACTCGCAACAAGCCACGAACAGCTAACAAACTTTTCAAACGAAAACAACACAAAGCACAAAGAGAACCAGCCGCGACAATAGAATAGCTTTTAAAATAAAACAAAAAAGCTTACGCTACGCTTTTGCAAAACGGGGTGCTTTCAGTTTGACTGGGTCACTCGAGCGTTGACGATGTCGGCTAGCTAATTGCTCCAAGTGTTTTTTTTGTAGAAGCAGCAACGAAAGCATTGTTGAATAACAACAAACCAAACCATATTAATTGTATATTAAGCATTAAGCGAAAAAACTCAAATTGTTGGTGTTAATTTGTCAATTCGAATAACCAAATTGTATACACTGGTTTATGGAAAAGCTCAACATGTATTATACACGCGCACAATACGTGCTAATATCAATTTGATGATTGGCAGGCAACAAGTGTGACGAGAATCAAATAAATCAACAAATATTTACGCACTTATGGATCCAATACTATTTCACAAATCGAAGGTGACCACAACTGGCTACGAAACGTTATTTTAACACATGTCCTGAGTCACAGGCTACAAGTCTACTACAAGTCGCTCTTTTAGTCAGAGAGCGTGTTTTATTTTTGGTCGTAAAACGAAAATATATATTGTATATAAGCAAACGTTTTTACATGGTGCTCGTGAATACTATTAATAAATATATTTAAATTTATGTACCGGATAAATGTACCTGAATACCATTTGAAGGACTCGTACAGCAATTTTAACTAAGCTGACGAAAAAGAATAAGGAATAAACCGGACCGAGTTGTCCAATCTATATAGCCATAAATCGGTAATCCCCAATACCGATGTTGGCAGAGTCAAGCAGCTGTAGCATAAACATAGACAAGGAGCAACCCCCCCACCTCCACAATGCGCAAGGATAATCAGGGCAGTCCTGAAACGATACCACTCAATGGCAGCATAAACAACAACAATGGCAAAGGTGCGCAGAGCAAACCAAAAATCGAACCAAAGTGTAGAATCAATCGGGATGTGCTCACCCAGGAGTTGGTCATCCGTGAGACTGGCTATGCGGCCAGGGCTAAGAGTATTCCCTCCTCCATGTACAATTGCTGGCGCAGCTGGAATTTCTTGTCGCTCTTCACGGGCATCATTCCTATACTGCAGTGGCTGCCACAGTATTCGTTGCGACGTGATTTCATTGGTGATATAATATCTGGTTTTACGGTTGCCATTATGAATATACCGCATGGCATGGCGTATGGCATGTTGGCCGGCGTTTCCGCAGGAAATGGTCTCTATATGGCTGTATTTCCGGTGCTCGTTTATATGTTCCTGGGCACCTCGAAGCACATCTCGATCGGCACCTTTGCTGTCGCTAGCATGATGACCCAAAAAGTGGTGCTCACCTATGCCAATGTGGATTCGAATCAAATACCAACAACAACAACACCAACAACAACAACAGCAATGTTGCAACTAGCAAACATGACAACAACAACAACAATGATGCCGCCTGTGGAAAATATTATCACACATTTGGAGGTGGCTACATCGCTAGCCTTTGCCGTGGGCATTGTAAACGTAAGTGGATACTGCAATCATGTAATCACGATAAGCTCTCGCATGAGATCATCATTCCAAACCTCACGAATATAATATATATAATGTATAAATATGGCATTTATTGACTTTAACTATAAACCAGATCATACGACTGCACCTGGCTGTTATCTCAAATTCTGGCAACTTTTGTAGTCCGAAGACAATTCAGTAGCCATATCTCTATCAATAGTATATTATGTAAGGCTGCGCTGTAGCATTGATAATCGGCTGTGTAGAAAATGGGAATCCAATTCCCCTTTCTAGACACCCGATTATCGGGATATTATTTCTTAATCAACATTTTCATTGCTATAAATTTATTTTTCCATTCAAGATTTCACGATAATTAGATAAGCAAGCAACTCTTGATTAAAATATCATTACGCGGCTAATAACTTATGAACTTATGTATTTTTTGACGTAGTCAGACGTTTGTCGCTGTCTAAAATCAAAATCACCACTCAATTCAATATCAGCACTTGACAACTATTTAATTGCAAAAGCAAAAACACTTCACACGCCTACAATCTTTTCAAGCTGCTTCTAGTCTGATGATGTTCTAATGGTATCCATATCTGTAATTTCAGCTGCTGATGTCCTTCTTCAGGCTGGGCACACTTGCCTCGCTGCTAAGTGAACCACTTGTGAATGGTTTTACAACAGCCGCCGCTTGTCATGTCGTCAGCGCCCAGCTGAAAGATGTGGTGGGCATTAAGGTGGATCGCCACAAGGGTGCCTTCAAAATTATTTACACTGTGATGGATGTGATCAGAGGATTGCCGCATACAAATCTCGTCAACTTTGGCTTCTGCATGGCAATCATTATATTTATGATCATCTGCAACGAGTGCCTCAAGCCATGTCTGAGCAAACGATGTCGTTTTCCACTGCCCGGCGAATTGATCGCTGTCATCGGTGGCACACTCATCTCAAAGTTCTATCTCCTGTACGAGGAGTTTAATGTGCAGCTGGTGGGCACCATACCGAAGGGTCTGCCAATGCCAACATTGCCGCGCATGGATCTGGTTCCATTGGTTGCTGTCGATTCTATTGCGATTGCAATCGTTACGTATTCGATCATAATGTCGATGGGATTGACGTTTGCCAAGAAGCATGGCTATGAGGTACGCGCCAATCAGGAACTCTTCGCTATGGGCTTGGGCAACATTGTGGGTGGATCTTTCTCCTGCTATCCACTGGCCTGCTCCTTGTCGCGTTCCGTTATACAGGAACAAACGGGCGGCGTCTCACAAATTGCCTCCTTGGTGTCGGCCTCGCTGGTGGTCGCCACCCTCATGTGGATTGGACCCTTCTTCAGTGATCTGCCCAGATGTGTATTGGCCGGCGTCATTATTGTGGCCCTGAAGCCCATGTTTATGCAAGTCAGGGAGCTGAAGAAGTTCTCCAAGCAGGGCAAACTTGAGATGTTCACATGGATATCAACATTTCTGTGTGTGGTGCTCATCGACATCGATATTGGACTGCTGATTGGAGTTTGCGTCTCCCTGTTGGCATTGTACATTAAGGGAATGAAGCCATATTCGTGCCTACTGGGCTATATACCCGAAGCGCCTGGCATCTATATGGACATGAATCAGCATCGCAATGTGTTGCAGGTTCCCGAGACGCGTATCTTTCGCTATTCGGGCTCTCTCAACTTTGCCACGAGTCTGTTCTTCCGCCGTTCCCTCTACAAGTCGGTGGGACTGGACAAAGTTAACAATAGCAAGAAAAAGACCAACGACTATGAGATTGTGGAACATAAAAATATTGATGAGAGCAAGGGTGGGACGTTCAAATTCCTCATACTTGACTTCTCCATGCTGGGTCACATCGATGTCGCCGGCTGCAGCACCCTAAGTGATATCAGCAAGGATCTAAAGGCGCGTGATGCTCGCCTGCTCCTCGCTAGTCCCGTGGATCGTGTCTACGACACTCTGGTGCATAGCATGGCACTCCGCGAGGGTCCATTCGACATCTATCCCACGCTCCACGATGCCGTTGAGTATGCGAATGCCATGCGCTCCGCGTGAGATTCTCCCAGGAGGCAGGAATCAGCTCCTGAAGCGAGAGAATCGTAGGATCGTTGGATCGTAGTATTCACCTTTTGCTATCCACAATTTATTTGTTAAGGTTTGAGGAGATCGATGTACAATAATAAGTTTGCTCAAATGCCGAAAGAATAGCAATGTTAACTACTTCAAAAATGCCAGCAACAATAATAATGTGTACTTAATAAGGGGCGCAAAACATAAACAAAAACAAAAACACCTCCGATCAACTGAAACTGTAATAAAAATGTATTTTGCTCGTATTGAGCAATTTAAGTAACTCTCTGTGCATACATGATTATTTGGTGCTATTCAAGGGTTGTTGCTTGGAACTTCTAATTGAAATAAAGCACAAACAATTAAATGGAATTATTAAAGCTCTCTGCGCACATTTCGTATTGATTTTGTAAGTCAATTTCTACAGTTAATTTATCAAATCGAATTTGACATTCGAATGTTGGCGCATGACCAATTAATCAATGGTGTATGTCAACAAATCAATCTAATAAGGAATATAACTAATGATAAGAGATATATACCATATATATTGTAATGAAGACTTTGCACTTGTCTCTTATCTTTCACTCCACAAAGCCATTGTTTATGTGGCGAGGCATCTCTCGTTTTTTCTCTTAACAGAACATATGATTGGCATTGTTATCGATAAATCGGTTCTACAGCACCATTTTGAGTAATTAACAGAAATGTTTACACACAAGCACTGATTACTTGGAAGTGATTAATAAGTGTAGCTCCAAGTAAACAAATGATTAGTTTTTGGTAAATTCGTACCACATGTGGCAACTGTGCCTCTATATGCATGTAATAGTGCAATTGTTATCATTAATCAGCTAACAGCAACTTGCCACAGTTGGCCACCCCACTGATGAACCAATAAATTAGCTAGGATGGAGGCCCTCGTAAAGTACCGCTATAGTTTCGTGGCAGGCGCGTGCGCTGCCGGCGGCAGTTTCTTTGGCAAGCTGCCCAGTTTTCTCGGTGCGATGAACCTGCTGCAACCAACGGCACTTCATAAATTCGCCGGCCATGCGTATTTGGGTAACTATTTTCTGCATCTTACCTAATAATCAGTTATTAAACCACTCTTTTTCTTTAGAATTTGCTTTGGTGCAGCTCCTGCCGCTTGGTTTGATGCTCCTGTGTAATGTGTGCAATCTGCGCTATTTTCTAAAAGCCCTGCAATTGAGCCAACAAACACTGACGGCAACTGTTTTAACTGCTGCCTCCAACTACGTAATATCAGTATGTCTAGCAATAATTATATATACATATATTTATTGATAGTAATTGTTGAATTGTCATTAAGTTTATTCTAGGTGCTCTCGTTTATCGGGAACCGTTGACAACTTTGTCCGGTGTGGGGATTACCCTAATATTAGCTGGTCTTTGGTTCTTGTGCGATACGAAAACGGAATTGGAAAAGGAGCCAGTTGTTTCTACAAAAACTGCTAATAAAAAGAAACAATGAAAATAAGCTGCATTAATTAAAGTTTAAGCGAATCGCAACAAAGGAATTTATCCTTTAAAAATACCTATCCAAAAAACTAAGTTTGTTACTTAAATATGTTTGTTTAATGTCACTATTTTGCATATACATACATACATAATTCATTATTTTTCTTCTATTTATAATGCACATACGTGGGCATAATGTTTCTGTATTTTTTTAAGTATACTGCTCTAAATATAATATATTTATACGTTTATTTAATACGCTGATTTTTTATGTGCTTGCAGGAGAGAAAAAAATGGTACATGTGTAAACAAAATTGGTAGAAAGAGCACAAACTATAAATATATTTGTTTATAGTAAATTACATAAGTTGGATTTCGTTTTCATATTTTCATTCATCCATTCGCAATGTATTATTATATTAAATCATTAAATATAATTTGTATGTTTCAAAATTGTTATTTAATTGCTAAGACGTATAAATACTTTTATTTTTCTGTTTCCATATTTTTATCTTGAAAAGTTTGCCGAACTTTTCAAAGCTCCTTTTTTCCTCTTTGCTTGCGGATCTCTTTTCCTATTTATTTATTTTTTTCTTTTTCATTTGCAGCTGTTTGTCCAGTGCATTTGTATTTTGTTTTTAATTTTGCTGATGGGTTTTAGAAACCCTCTGCATTTCATTCGTGTTGTTGCTGTTGTTCTTGTGTGTATGTGTGTGTGTTTTTGAACTTTCCTGTATGCTGGTTTTTATTTTATTTTTGTTATAAGTGTTCTAAACTAGATTGTTGTTTATATTTTTATTAATTAATAATTAAATAAATCATAATTATATAGAAACATTTAATTGTATTAAAAAAAATGCGCAAACAGTTTTTTCGTTCTGTTGTTTCTTTTTTTTTGGAGCTTTTCACGTTGCTGACTAACGGTAAATTGAATGCCAACGTGGCAACGCTGCTTGGATGTGTGTTTCTGTGCTCATGATTTGTAATGCTTATTTATGTGGATGTGTCTGCGTATGTGTATGTGTACTTGTATGTGTATATGTGTATGGGTGTGTGTGTTTGTGAAAGGAGCTTTTCATTTAATACATGTGCCAACGGCCAAACAGCTGCGCCGTCGCCTGCCTATCGACGCAATTCGCCGTTTCAGTTTTTATTCTCCAAGCTGAGCGGCATTCGCTGCTGCTGTTGTTGTTGAGACTGGCGCTGATTTATATAAGCACTACCACCACCGCCGCCGCCACTACCACCGTTGCCACCCGGCCCACCGCCAGACGTGTTTCGACCACGATCGCCCATCGGCCGACCAAAGGGTCCGTTGCCATTGCGCTGATTGCCGCCACGCTGGCCGCGATACGAGCCGCCACCAGAGGAGTCATAGCGTGATTCCTTATTGTAGACACCACCTCCGCCTCCTCCTCCACCACCGCCGCCATTTTGGTAGTAATTGTTGCCGCCACCGCTGCCGCCGCTGCTTGACTCATTGTTGCGGAAATAGACGCCGCTGTTCCGGCCATTTTGCTGTGACGCAGAGTTGCCATATTGTCGCGAGCGATAATTTCCGCCGCCGCCATTGCGTCCACGTTCGTCACCGCCGCCATTGCGACGCTGCTGCTGATGCTGATAATTGCCAGAGTTACGACGCACCTGGTTGCCACTGTCGGGCTGCGAGGAGTTCCAATGATTGTTGGCGCCATCGTTCTCATTCAGATAACCACCACGACCGCTACTGTTGTCGCGTGGCGTTGCCCATTCCTGTTTGCTGTTGCTGCTATTGCTGCCATTTGAGGCGGCGCTGCTCATTGCATTCATTTCGCTGCTCCACTTATTGTTGCTGTTGTTGTTGGCTGACGTTGGCGTTGCCACCTGATCCACGACGACAAGTGCCGATGATTGTGTCTTAAGCACATTTGTCAGAGCAGCTGTGGCAGCTGCATTCGTATCATTGACAACAGCAGGACCAGCACCACGTCCATGCCACTCATTGGCCTCCACCACCACATCATTGTTGACAGGTGGCTGCTGCTGCTGTTGCTGCTCGTCAAGATGTGGTGGCTTCGGCAGCTGCTGCGGCTTGATTCCCAGCTGCTGCTGCAATTGCTGCTCATAGCTGACAACGGAGGCATCATAGGGAAACACGGCCGTCACATCGCCCGGCTGCATGCCAATGCCCTGAGGTGGTGGCGGTGCCTGCTGCTGCAGCTGCTGTTGCTGCTGTGGCGGCATACGTGTCATAATCAGCATGGGTTGCTGTTGCTGCTGACGCTGTTGTTCGTATGTCAGTACTGGCGAGAAGAGTTGCTGCTGCTGCTGCGGAGGTTGTTGCTGCGGCTGCTGCTGTTGTTGTTGCTGCTGTTGTTGCTGCTGCTGTTGCTGCTGCAGGGACGGGAAGGACTGATTGGTAAAGGTCAGTGTTGTTATGGTCATCGACTCATCTACATGATTCTGCTGCTGCTGTTGTTGTTGCTGCTGCTCAAAGACCAATCCCTGTACTGGCAACTGCTGCGGCGGCGGTGCCATCGGTAATTGTTGCTGCTGTTGCTGTGGCGGCTGCAACACATCGGGCGCATCCAATTCGCTGTCCTGCAGAAAGTGGAAGCTGCCGTTGCCCAGGACTTCGGCCAGCGGACGCAGCTGCTGCATAAATTGCTGCTGCTGCTGTGGCGTCGGTGCCTGTAGAGCAGCACCAGCTCCAGCTGCTGCTCCTGCTGGCTGTGTTGCCTGCAGCGGTGGCTGCTTGAAGTAATTATGCTCCACGGCACGCACTGTCGTTGCTCTAAAGTGCTGCTGCGGCTGTTGTCCTTGCTGCTGTTGTTGTTGTTGCTGAGACACCGATGATGGCGCCACAGCAACGCCCGCCTGTGGCGTCTGCGATGGAGGCACCGCGTGCAAGGCCTGGAGATTCACGGGGCTACTCAGCAACTGATGTGGATGCTGAGCAGGCGGAGGCACATGCGTTCCCTGCGGCGGAGGCGCCGTTGCATACATCACATGCACAGGCGTCGTGTTGCCACCAGCAGCAGCTGCTGCTGCAGCCGCCACTGGGACAGTATTATAGACACCTGCTGCCTGCTGCTGTTGGACGAGCAACTGTTGCTGCTGTGGGTCGATGGGCAGCGTGCGCGAATGCTGCGACTCAATCAGTTGTTGAGCAGCGCGTTCCGGCTGCATCAGCTCGGGCATTGAGGTGCCCGCATCGGCAGTTGTCGTCAGCTTGTCCAAGCCCTCCTCCAGCGAATTATGAGCCGATGGCTCCGACAGGGCTGCATCCCGATCAGCAGCTAGTGCATCATTCAGCAGTGTATCGGTGGCGCCAATTGTCTGCGTGCCGCTCTCCGCACTGTTGCCCTGCGCTGCTGCCTGATCCGCGACGGGTATCCAATAGTACTTGTCCAAATAGCCACTGTCCTGAATCTGTTGGAAGAGCGCGCGCAGTTTCTCGAACGTCAGCTCACCGTACGGCTTGGCACGCGCATTGATCGTCATGGCAAAGAGCTCGGCTGCTTTCTGGGCGGTGGTCAAGAAGCTGATGTCCTCGGCAGTCTCCGGGCGGCGCATTTGCACATCCATGCAGCTGTGTTAAAAAATATATTAAGCATTTTGAAGATTACAATCACGAACATTTTAAATATCTGATTTAGATTGACTTGTAATGGATGATCATAATACAAATATAGTGAACTTTTTATATTTTTAATACTTATTTAGAATCACTTACAACTTCTCGAGCGTTTCCAAATCGTTAGTCTCCAGTTTACAGGCGCCATTCTCGCCGGCCAAAAAATCGCTGCGAACCTGCTCATCGTTGAAGCAGGTGAGAACGTTTTGGATGACCAAGAGATCACGAATCTTGACAGTCTCCGCCAACACCTTGGCCTGGTTGTCCTGGGCACAAAAACGCACACATTCAATGTGAATATATAAAATTTAAATAAAGTATTTGATTTAGATTTTACCTTGCGTGCCTGTTTCTTCTGCTCCTTTTCGGCCTCCTTGAACATGGATTGCGTCTGCTTGGCGACATCTCGGGCAAACTCCAGGGTGGCCAGGACAGAGTCGTATTTGGCAACGGCTGCCGCTTGATCGGCGCTCAGCTCCTTGCCACCAGCTTGAATAGCGCGGTATGATTCCAGTTTTGTCTGTGTGTGTGTGTATATGTGAAAAATAAGTATGACGAATGAATCATGACTGGGGTAAAGAATAACATTTGCGTCGCTTTGTGTTTTTGTATTGTTATGCGTGGCAAGATAACACAACCATACAAGCCAAAACCAAAAGCAATACGAAACCAATAGCAAAAAATCGAGCGATTATTCCTCAAAAATGTCGGGCACATGCGATAGCAGCGTTGCCAGACAGAGCGCCGGCGCTTAAATAAACTAGATAACAACATTAACTCCGCATAAATACACAACATGCAATTAAAATTTGACAATTAATATTCTTCTTTGTAGAATTTGCTGAATGCATGATTAGTTTACTTTCAGTTGCTGGATAAGAGTAAACATATATATTTTTCGTAGTCCAGTCACGGCCATTGGTCTGGCAACTCTGCGAAACAGCAAACATGGCGTCGCGAAAAATCTGCGAGCACAAGGGGGAAACAGCACGAGCAATAAAAAAAAAAACGAAACAAAGCGGGCGACGAACGAAAATAAAAAAAAAAAATGGTGGGCAGTGGTGGGCGAATCAATCCTCAATGCCTTCAAAATGAAATTCCATGCACCTACCTTACGTTTCTCCAAATTGCGAATCTTGTGCTCAATGGTGACCAGAATTTGCTTCATCGGATTGTACGGCTCGGCGGCAGCAGCAGCGGCAGCTGCAGCCGACAATTTCAGCGCTTTGGCATTGACACTATTGTTGCTGCTGCTGTTGTTGTTGCTGTTATTGGTTAAGTCAGTTTGGCTGCCACTGGCAGGTTCTGCTCCCGCAACGACAACAGCCTTGACACATTCAGCGAGATTGGTGTTGCTGCTATGCTCGCCTCCTCCATTGCTAGCATTGCCATTACCGTTGCCATTGCCATTGTTGGAGCCGCCGCCACCACCCACGCCGCTGCCGCCGACGCTGCTGCTGCTCGCACCAATGGAGCTGACCGAGGCGCGTTTCTCCTTGCTATTGTTGTTGTTGTTGGTGATTGTGGTAGCAGCCGAAGGCATTGTTTGCCGTGTGTGTTCTTCTGGTTGCTTACTACTTTTACTAGAAATCAGGAATGAAATTGAAACTGCTGCCTTGTCCTGCCGTTCTTTTTGTTCTTCGAAAAACTTAGGGATGGCTACAAATGTTGGCATGTGTATCGACTATGTCGATAATCCAAGTATCGCTAATGTCAAGCTTACGATAGATCGATTTGATTATCACTCTTGACAGCAATCGATAAGTTGAAATTGTGTGAGAAGTCCTATCTAAAACAACTATCTACAATAGTGAATGGCTTACTAGTAATCTGATCAGAGATATAAGAAAATGACATCAGAATAAAAAAATAAGCTATTACAATATATCAATATACTTATCATTTGACATTGTCCAAATACCAATTTGCAATTGCGCCACATGAGATTTGTTACTTATCCGATAGGTGGCGTTAAACTCAAAGAAAATGTTCAAATTGTTCCATTTGTGAAAAATTTAAATTAAAAATATCTAGCAACAACAAAATGACTTTTCGATTTCTGCAGAACACAATCAGCCGTGCCTATTCGTGCTCCGTCCAAAGAGTAACCCTTATACCAGGCGATGGAATCGGTCCAGAGATCTCTAAAGCCGTCCAAAAGATTTTCAGTGCCGCCGAAGTGCCCATCGAATGGGAAATAGTTGATGTTTCTCCGGTTCGTAGGCACGATGGCAAGGTGGGCATATCCCAGTCAGTTATCAATTCGCTTAACACCAACAGGGTCGGTCTGAAGGGCCCCCTGATGACGCCCATCTGCAAGGGGCATTGCTCCATGAATCTGGAGCTACGCAAAGAGCTCAATTTGTATGCGAATGTTCGTCCTTGTCGCAGTCTCGAAGGCTATCGCACTCTCTACGACAATGTGGATGTGGTTACCATCCGTGAGAACACAGAAGGTGAATATTCGGGCATTGAGCACCTGATTGTCGATGGCGTTGTGCAGAGCATTAAGCTGATCACGGAGAAGGCATCGACACGTGTCGCCAAATATGCCTTCCAGTACGCCAGGGACAACAATCGCAAGAAGGTCACCGTCGTCCACAAGGCAAACATTATGCGCCTATCCGATGGACTCTTTCTGCGCTGTGTGCGTTCCGTCGCCCAGCATTATCCGGAGATTCAATTCGAGGAGGTGTATTTGGATACGGTGTGCCTTAGCATGGCCCAGCATCCTGATCAATTCGATGTGCTTGTCATGCCCAATTTATATGGGGATATTTTGTCGGATTTGTGTGCCGGCCTGGTCGGTGGCATCGGTCTAACCCCATCGGGCAACATGGGATTGAATGGTGCGCTCTTTGAATCTGTGCACGGCACTGCACCCGATATTGCTGGCAAGGATCTAGCCAATCCAACGGCCCTGCTGCTCTCATCGGTGATGATGTTGCGCCACATGAAACTGGGCCTGTTTGCCGATAGAATTGAGCGTGCCGCCTTGGAAACGATCAAGGAAGGACTGTGTCTAACAGGTGATCTGGGCGGCAAGGCCAAGTGTTCAGAGTTCGTCAGCGCGATCTGCACAAAGCTATCGAATGGATGCAAACAAGCATTAAGGTCGTTGCCAAATTGATTTATATTGTTTCGTGGTCGATTACGATCTCTAAAAGCTGTTGTTGTGATTGATATGTCGATAAACTTAAGTACTGTTCTAAAATCCGCTAGGTGGCGACACGCTTGTTGTCTGACTATTGACTATTGGCGCGCATTCAAAAACTTTTAATTTGTGTTTTATTTTGTATAGATTTATTGGTAAGTTATGTAGTTAAACAATCTAAAATGTTAAACTTTCCGTTTCATTGTCCGTATTTAAGGCAAGTTGTCTGACGCGCAGTCGCAGCGTACAATTCCGTTCTGTCTGCCTCGTACATTTCATATATATGTAAATATGTATACATCTATACATACATATATATACTCTTTTAACATAAATGCTTTGCTTACAGTTAAATAGATGCTTAAGTACAATAATAGGTTAGATATACGATTATAACATTTTGATTTCAGTTATTACAAACAAAGATTTTTTGTTTAGAACCAGACAAGGCTTTTAAAGCCAACTGCCGGACGCTCAACCAATTGGGCGATATGTTTTTTAATTTTTATTTTTTTTTGCATAATTTTTGTTTGTTTGCATTTTTGATTTTCGGTTACATCTTAAACAAAATTACAAGATTAACTAAATAGGAGAGAGATAAGATAGATAGTGAGAGGGAGAGGAAGAGTGAGAGAGCAAGCGCTTAAAATTTGTTTGTGTACAGAAAAATATTTTTGTTGTTTAAACATAGGTACGAGAGTACAATTACAATAATACATTTAAGATTAATAAAGCGTAATTCAAAAGATTTCACTACAAAACCAAAGAAGGTCGCATCATCTCAATAATATAGTTATATAGTACATACAAATTACAACATTTTAAGTACAAATACATATACATATAGGCTCTCTTTTTGTTTGTGTGTGTTTGTTTGTTTGTTTTGTGTATAAATATTAAAAATATATAGCTCATTTTTATTATTATTATTATTATTAACTGCTGCTGCTCCACACATCGGTTAACTACATTAAGAATATAAGAGTTGCGTATATCTTCCAGCGAGTGCTCAGATGTCTCCAATTATCGCTGAAATAAACTCCAGAATTTGTAGCTGGAGACACGCTTGGCCAGATTGCTGGCGGCACTGCTGGATCCCGAGGATGTTGTTGTTGCATCGGCGGCAACGCTGCGACGATTATTGATCAGTTTGGATCGCATCTGTTCATCGATCAGCTCCTGCATGTCCATTTGCCACTGTTCGAGCTGCTGCGAGAGCTCCACCTTCTGCTGAATGGACTCAAGCAGCTGGCTGTTGGCCTGCATTAGTTCGACCCGCGTTTTGGCCAACTCCACTTCGGCCTTGGTGCGACGCTCATTGGCCGCATCGCGTTCTCTTTGCGCCTTTGTCAGTAGCTCATCGCGATCAGTGTTGTCGACCAGATCGCCACGGGCCTGATCACGCTCCTCTTTCACGTTCTGAAGCTCCACATCGGTCACGGTGACCTTGGCCTCCAGCTGCTGTATCAGCTGATGGCTGCGCTTGATCTCATCCTCCTGCTCGAGCACAAGATTGCGCGTTTGGTCCAGCATCTTCTTGAAATTTCCCGCATCCAAATTGAGCAGCAATCGCGTCAGCTCATCTGACATGGCCGATAGCATGCCCTGCCGGAATTCGATGGCCACATGGCCGCTATCATTGTTGCTCGATATCGTATTATCCATGGACTCCAGATCCAACGATATGTCCGAATTGAGACCTACAATTATACGAATGCCGTGAAGATGGCTCTGACTGTGCATTGTCTGTCTGAACTGACACTCACCTGAGTCATCATCGTGACCCACTTTAAGCGAATCCACCAGGGATTTCAGCTGTATGTAAACGGAGCGTGCCTCTACCCACATTTGACTGGGCTTGCCGGATTCCGTGAAACTGGCCTCGTCCTCATCGCACTCCATCTCAAATTGCAGACTCTTCTTGCCGGGCGTATTGGAGTTGGAGTCCTGTGTAGTTAGTTAGACAAAGGATCAGAAATGGCTTGGGGTTAAGTGCAAGAATGGGATCGCTTTATCAACTTCTATTCTATTTTAGAAAATAGAATCGTATCCACAAAAATGGATTGCTAGATTTAAAAGTGTAATGCGATCCTTTGACAAACAAAATAGAGAGAAAAGTTATCTGAAGATTGGATACCCTTGGAGACCGAATTCCATCAGTTCACATCTAAATTTCGTTATTCATTTTGAAAACCGATCAATTGCTCCTTGGAACCAAAAATAACAGTATTTATCTAGTTACCAAACCATGATCAAAAATTTGTTTGGCTAGAATTTAGATCTGATTATAATACCCTTTGCAAGGGTGTAAAAAAACATAAAAGATATGCCAATTAAAGGTCGCATTATCTTAAGCTAATCTTATGTTTAAGTTGAGATAAAGAAAACTCACCGCTCCCAATCTCTCGCTAAGCACATTATTCTCACGCTGAGAGCGCTCCAATGCTTGTAAGGTGGTCTGAAAAAAAATTGACATTAGAGATACCAATCAAGGAGATAAGTGTGTTTATTATTTATAGATGACAACTTCAAAACTTATCTACGCTAATACAAAAGTAGAGCAAAAGAAAGTCGCTCATACATAAGTTAAACAACACTTGAGAAACTGCGCAGTTATATTTCCAAAGAAATAATCTTATAATTTATAAATCACGATTTCATTTTAATTAAGTGAAAGAGACGTGATAAGGTTTGATTTGAGTTTTTGAGCTCACCTCTAATTTTGTTTCCTGCTCGCGTGCATGGCGCTCCAGCATATGAATTCTGTCCGATGCCTCGTCCAGCGATGAGGTGAGGTTCTCCTTCTCCTCCTGGGCGTGCTGCAGGCGACGCTCCAGCTCATGGCGCTTGCCTGTGGTGAGGTTTAGTTCGGTTTTGATGGACTCCAGGCTGTTGACATGCTCCTGCCAAACAATACAAACAAACAGTTAAGCAAAAGTTTCCTCTGTTTTTATATATTATTACCTGTAGGCTGCTGTTTCTGTAGTGATATTGGTCCTTCAGCTCCTGGATCTGTGCGCTTAGTTTCATTTCGGTGGCATGCGCCTCCTGTATCTGTTCGGTGAGGCGTGTATTTTGATGCTGCAGCTCATCAATCAGTATGGTCTTCTCCTTTTCCGCCTGCCTGATGGCCACATCCTGTGTCTGCAGCTTGTCCTTGAGCTCATTGAGATCGGACTGCAGTTCGAGGACACGCTGATCGCTCTCATCTTCCGCTATGGCCAGTTTCTGGCGCAGCACATGCTTCTCCTGTTCGAGTTTCTGCAAGCAACGTGGAAAGTTCATTAAAAGATATACAAGAAAAAAATAACTTATTGTTTGTTCTATGACTCGTCAGCAACAACATAATGAAAGTAAGTAAAATAAATAATTTACACGTACAATAATATAATGAAAAACCCAGTCAACAAAGGCAACCGCAAGGTTAACACAGCTCGACAGGTAATTCGCTTCGTACAGGTAACATTTGAATTTTTCTTCGTTTTTTTCTTTACTGTGTTTTCATCTCAGATACCAAAGAGCTACAAGCCTTATCAAAGTACAAGGTAATTATGAAGAATTCATCAACGAGACAGCCAAGTAAAACTAGACTTCATTTGTCATTCAGAAATGTTTAGCAAATATAAAAGAAGATATTAAAATGGCATTAATTTTAAGTTCGTATTCATTTGAATACGGCAAGCTTTGCACCACTGTGCAAAGGAAAATCTTCAGCTAAAGTTGAACAATGGCGCCTTGGCTCTTGACACCATTGTTAGCCATCAAACCAACCAACCACACAATTCACATCATGTAAATTAAAATGCAATTGCAGTTTCACTTCTTTTGCGGCGCGCATCAACTCCTAACGACAGCGTAGTTCGGTCATTAGCCGCTAAAGTCGGCGATTTGTTTGAAGCGGTGCTTCGATAGTCCAGCTTAGGCGATAACAAATGCAATCGTTTAGTTCTAATGACTGGCCACATTTCTAATAATAATATCGATAAGTGCCTAGCCAGTTCTCGTTGAGCTACAAAAGCTTTTGATTGCCAATTCCAAATTCAATTATCATCTAATAATTTGCATAATTGACATGTATGCTCCGTGAGCTGAGTAATTGCTGCTATGCAGGGATAGTTGAACATTTTTTTATATATATTTTTTTTTTGTAATTGGATCAAGGTTTGTAGCGACATTGAAAATTATATGCAAAGTTTAATCGATACGTGAACCTTCAATTGGCAGAAAGTAAACGCAAAGAACACATACAAAAACAATTGTTGTATCTGGACACAAATAGTTGCGATCTCATTTTGACGATGTGTGCTTTAAGCCTTATCGCCTCTAACTTAATGCGGAAAATGCATAGCAAACACGTAGAGTGAAGAAAAGAAGAAAACAAAAACCAAGAGACGACAATAAAAAATATGAGAAGTCAACGCGGTTTGCCTATCAGCAGAAAACCAAAAAGTAATCTTCGTCGCTAATAAAATGGAGCGACAAAACAGTAAATGAAAAGCTTAAATAAAATTACCTGTAATTTGCATAAAATGCGACGACGGTGCCGAAAACCAAAAAAGAAAAAACCACAAAAAATTGTCGGAGTTGTTGTTTTGGGTTTGCAAAGAGGGCGACGCTCGGCTCGCGCCTAAACAATTGCAATTGCAGCAGAAAGAAAACTGCAGCCAGACAATGGAAAACGCTAATAAACAAAAAAAAAAAAAAACAAAAAAAAAATGTACTGCAAAGCAAGCGTTCAAACCGCCGCTCTGAAGCAAAATAAAACAAAACAAATCAAGATAGAGTGAGAGAGATAGAGAGCGTGTGGGAGAGAGATAGAGATAAAGACAGATGAGAAAAAAATTATTGTACTTTCTCTGTTTCTATTTCACGCTCAATGAAATGTGTTGATGATGGCTGTGTGCGACGTCAGCTTTAAAATCAGCAACAACAGCGGAAGTTGGCATCAGCTCAGCCAACAGAAATGAGTTCAGGCAAAAAGCAAGAGTTCAGTTGGCTTAAGACAAAATCATATAAAATACGCATTAGAGATGAGCTGCAAAAATGCTCATGCAATTGGCCATTTTTGTTTTTCACTTAATTTTCTTACGTATTTTTTGTTTTTGTTTTTTTTTTTAAATTTTTTATACTTCATAGATAGACGTTGCTAATTGCATTGCATGATCGCCGAAACGGCAGTTGTAATTTGTTTTGACGTCATACAAGCACACACATTAGTTGTTTTTTTTCGAAGGCGACGTAATATGACCCACTTTCATGTGGTGCGAAATGGTGCCTATTTGGCTCTGCGAAAATTACAAATATTTGTTCAGCACAAATTGCAGCGCCTGTGGGCAGGAAATGTTCAAATGTGCAATTGACACAATTGCAGCCCTGCTTGGCGCTGAGTCATCCATGCAACAAGTGATGCTTTAAGTATCTAAGCAAATTTTATTGTCTAATGCTGAGTAAATTGTGGTAAAAGGCAAGCAACCATTCAAAAGAAATGCTTGAATAAACAGCGAACTTTTAGTGGGAGTGCGAAAAGTTGCAGCAATCGATCATTTGCGCAGCGATAACAGATACTTGTTGCGGGTATTCGCTAAAAGTAACGGCTCTTATTGCAAAAATCGATTGTTAATTAAATGTTTGAACACAAAACGTCGAGTCATAAAATCATCATCTAAGTGATGACTTGGCTTGGGTGTTGAAAGCGACAACGGCGGCAACTCTGTTCGATAATTGCCGTAAAATAATTAGCTAAATTGCACGCCACTCACTTTGTAGAAGCTGCAAAAGAATCGTGCCATAAGCAAAAAAAACACACAATGCAATAGAGAAGGTGGGGAGGTGGGCTTAACAGCTCTTGAAGGCAGCTCTTCTGGCTGTTGTTGGCAAACAAGTTTCGAATGTCAAATGCTGGCAATTACCTAAGCGGCCTATTAATAAACATTGAAAAGTTTAAATTGCAATAAATAAAAATGCCAGCCAGCAATGAGTCAAGAGCATGAGCTCAGCTTGTAAGAGCATGAGTCAATGTCCAGGTAAAGCAATGCGTCGGTTTGCCGCGGTTAATTTGCACAACATTTGCCGAATGCTGGCTGCATTTTTTATGCGTTGTTTTGGTTTGTTTCCATTATTTGTTGTTGGGGCAACCCCAAGTAACAAATATGCTGCAGTCTGTTGCACAGCGTTTAACGTTGCGTATGCGTAATGCGGCTCATCCGCCAGGGGCAAAACTTTCTGTTTCTGCTACAGTCTTAATTGTGGTCTTCAATTTTTTTTTCAGTTTCGCTTCTTCTATTCCACCAACGCCGCCCACTTTTCACTCGCATTGCAATTATAATGCATTTGATTTTAATTAGCAGACAGAGAGCGAGAGAGAGGAGAAAAAATAGCAACCTGCCGCAGAAAATTCACACATAATAGCAAATTGCCTTTTGCATTTTATTGGCATGGAAAATTATGCAAATTGCCGCATAAGCAAGCGGTTAATAAGTTTTTGGCTATTTGAGATCAATTAAATGGTAACTATTAGCCAGTGGAACTGATTGAAAGCGGTTTAGTTGTACGACGGGAAGTCTTGTGAAAGATGCCATTTAACTTATGCAAAATTGTTGAAAGCGCTATGACAATTATAATTAGTGAAGTTTCCACACAACACACATAGCCAATAAGCAATAATTCATAATGACAGATTCTCACCGATTTAGCTGACTTTCGATAAATTTATTATTGACTTCTAGCAGAAATAATGCAGTTAGAACGCAGCACAGTGTGAGATCAATTGACCTAAATGCTAAATGCATAAAGAATTGTAGTTTTATGTAATCCATTGACAATGCATCGCCATCGGCAATGACCCTTCACCGCATGCCCCCAAAAAAAAATAAAAAACTTTATTTCAATTTTGGCAGTCGTCATGCAACTAATAAAACAACAATGCGACATGCTAATTTTTCAACAATTGCCAAAGTTGGCGTATGTGCTAAGGTCACGCCGTCTGTCCGTGTGTCTGACTGACTAACTGACTGACTGACTGAGTGACTGATGGGCAGCATGGTAGGCGTGACTGCTACAGTTGACTGCCCAGTTTGAGTTCCATTTGCAGCCACAGTCACTTTGGCCCTCTGATACAGCAATGCCAAAAGCAGCCGCAATAATAATAACCGTCATAATAATAATAGCACATAATGCGGTGCATGGCGCTTTAAAGTTTTCCATTGTTATTCTTCTTGTTGTTGTTGGAGGCGGTCAAATGGAGACAGAGGATGACTACGAGATGGCCTTGTAAGAGCAAACAGTGTCAGCAGCTTTACAATTTGGTCGCAATGTGCAAAATGCGTTACAAACCATCAGCAATAGCAGAGTCATCCATATGTTTTGTCAAAGGCTCGATTGGCATTGATTGAACATGAACTGATGTTTTCTTAAATTCCCAAATCCGAATATCATATAACACTCTATGCTTATAAGAGTTTTCAGTAAGTCTTTAAGAGCGAACTATATTGCCTAGAAGCATTCCAATTTGCAAATGGTTTTGTATGTTCTAATCGTAAATGTTTTATTTGCCAATTAATAATTATAATATCTCAATTCCTCTACTTTAAATTTGTAATTAAAGTTCAAGAGTATTCCAGATGTCTTGCAACACACTAACCCAAATATTTTCATCGTTTTCGTACAACTATTTTGCGCAACTTTCGGTATACAAAGGAAAAACTTGAAACTTAAACAAAACAAAAATTTAACAATCACTGCACTTAATTTTAAATTTCATATTTATTTTGGCATTGACATTTTTTTTATCTTTCTTGACGTTGCCGTTGCCATTCCATTGTTAAAGAAATTGTGAAAAATATGAAACGAAATTGGGCAAGTTAATTTTATTTTGGCATTTTTGTGGTGTTTGAATTTAATGTAAAGTGCAATAAGAGAGTGAAAGATAGTTAATTAAAGCAAGCTCAAAGCCTTTGTGTTTTTTTTTTTTTTTTTTGTTTTGTTTTGTTTTCTTTCAATGGTGCGATTTAACGGGACAACAAAAGAGAAAATAAATTCGAGCCGGTAATTATGATTAATTACGAAATTTTGTTAATAAACTTATGTAGGGAGGCTCACACTATTTAATTTTACCCTTATGATTCACTCTGTTAAAAAAAGAAAACAAAAACCAAATTACAATCGCAGCAATATACAAAAACTTATCTTATCGAAACAGCGGAAAGTGCGAAAAAAAGGAAAACGAAAACGAAACATGAGCAAATAAATCAGACCCCTTATCA